CAAAAGTTGACATATGATATGTCATTCTATTCAGAATGCCATTTTATATCGAATAAAGTAAAAAATACCGAGGGTGTCATTTAAAAATCAAAAGTTGTCATTTCCGGTTAAACGGGATGTGACCAAAAACGATTGAATACGTCAATCAATCCTAATTTATGTCATATACGAACATACCAAATCTCGTTTTTTTATTTGAAAAAATAAAAAGTTATAGGTGTGAGCCACTTTTCAGACGCACCCGGTATAATATATGATGTCTGGCGTATCGTCACCGGAACCCGTATCGATCAGGCCTGATATTTTATTTGAAACGTTTGGCGTAATTTTTACGTTCTCTAGTCAACAACCCTGTTATCGTTTCACTGCTTCTGTGGAGCGCTGTTAACATCGCTCTCCGCGCTTAACCTTACTTTTTGGTTTGGCCGGTTTGCGGCGTTTGCGGCACGATCGCAAACCCGACTTTTAGAAATGGTAATTTAAATCTTCCTGCATAATTTGAATCAGCTGCCAGTTCGAAGCTACAGGTAAAGATGAGTTATTATCTTTATTAGATTTGTTACTATTACTGCGTATTTTTAGGGTAGAGCTTTGGATTGGCCCACCTTAACTCGTATTTGTATTTTGCTGACACGTTGGTGTACTTTTGCTGTTGTCCTCCAGAATGTTAATGGAAGAAAGGACAGTTCTTTTGTTTATTAGTGAGCCCTCGGAAGCGTTTCGAGGTAGGTTTATATTGTAGACAGTATAGTATTTAAAATATGATTTAGATCTTGGTTTCTTTGCGAATATTACGTTTTGTAATAGTATTACTTTCTATATAAATTATTATTGTGTCATTTTGACAGATGAATAACCGAACCGATTCTAGAATCTACGACTTGCAATATCTCAGATTTAACATCGTATAAAATATAACAAATTAATTAAAGTAATGCTACCTTTTTTATATTTTCTATAGCTCTATATTGTATTTTCCGTAGTCTTTTTCATTGAACATAGTTAATACTATTTTTAATATAACTTTCGTCAACATATAACCACTATAATTATTAAAATTTTACAATGTTATTTACCATCAAATAACATCATGAATAAATATAGTCATTAGTTTTAAGTAATATACAACTGTGTTTTCTTTCTCTGTACATGTCTGGCGCCCAATATCTATATTCTTTTGTTTATTGTTATTAATTAGTTTTCTTTCCAGTGAAATACACCATACAGCACATCAAATCACATTTACGATATGTTTACATTATTAGATGTAGACAGAGGGTGACACAATTCCCCCGATGTAAATATGCTACGTTTACACATTGTAGTTCAACACGTATGCACAAAGGTTAAATGTCCGCCTCACAATGTAGCCACAGTATAGCATTTACGTATACACAAAGTTAGGGATACACAGTGTGCCGTAGGATACACAGTGCTTCCCTCAAGGTTCGATCCTCGGACCCACCCTCTGGAATATATTTTATCAGATACTTAGAACCGATACAGGCCTGGGCAACACGATCTTAGCTTACGCGGACGATCTAGCCCTCTTAATAACTGCATCCACCTACACGATCCTCGAAGAAAAGATTCAGACGGCTGCGCTAGCGATTAAAAATAAGTTGGAAAGCATGGGCGTCAAACTGGCCCTCGAAAAAACTGAGCTGGTCATTCTCGTTGGACAACGCAAGGCAAAAGATCTAAGCATAAAGCTGGATAATTTAGTTATAAAACCTCAAAAGAAGGTTAAATACATGGGGTCTGGTTCGACTCGGGCATGCGAATGACTTCACACGTCACAGAAATCAGGGATAAATCGACTAATCATCCAGCATCTGACAAGAATAACTCCCAATATCGAAGGACCACGCGCGGAAAAAAGAAGACTTCTCGCTTCGGTAGTTCATTCGACCATACTCTACACATCGCCGATCTGGGACAGATCCAGGCGCTTCAAGCATTACGAAAACATGCTAGAAAGGATAAATAGGAAGTTAGCACTCAGGGTTGCATCGGCATACTGCACATGTCCAACAGTAGCGGTACTGTGTCTTGCTAAGATACCTCCAGTCAGTCTACTGAACCAGGAAAGAAATCAAATATATAAAAATGGAACTTCCTTCCGGAAAGAGGTCAGAAACATGGTACTAGAGCAATGGCAGACACGATGGGAAGCATATAGCGGATGGACAAAGACTTTCATACCCAATATTAAAGATTGGATAAAATGCGACCAAGCAAATACGGACTACTACATCACGCAAGCCATGACTGGCCATGGAGTATTTGGCGAGTATCTGCACAGGATCCGCAAGGCTGACTCTCCTAAATGCTGGTATTGCGAGGAGTCAGACTCGGCTAACCACACACTATTTGAGTGTCACGCGCACGAAGATTTACGGGAAAACGCAGAAACAGTATGTGGTACGAAGATTTCTAGAGTAAACGTCGGAAACCTTCTAACATCATCAAATGAAAATACCGAAGCGATTTGCGGCATGTTAAGGAACATTATGAAGAAAAAGGCGAAGGACGAAAAAGACAAGATCTGGGTACAGACAAGACCAACATAGAAGTATGATAAGTCTCTAATCTTGATGAAATACCTTCGGCGGTACCGAGATTGGCGAGCTTAGAGCACAGATGGGTTTTTAGTGGGTAGACCCTCTCGCATGAGGGAGATCCCCACTCTGGCCCTAAAGGCGTTTCCCACCTATAAAAAAAAAGGATATACAGTGCTTGTGTATTACGTCTAAACTCTGCTTACACATTGCAGTTGTGACTACCGCGTGTATACGTATGTATTTTGCTTCGTATATACATCTTGTGCTAGATAAAACTACTTCTTAAGAAAGAATTTAAGAAATAATACAAGTTTTGATGCCTAACTTTTTGTTCTTTTTAAGAAATATTTATTCAATTATACCAATTATATCTTTTTAGAACGAAAATTAGGAAGGCAAAACTTAGTATTTTCCAAAAGTATCTCGATCTTAAGTTCAAGAGAAGTAGCCTTAAAATTGTTCCATTTTTGTTTTGTATTAAATGTACCATTTTTCTTATATATAAAATGGATTAAGTGGTTAAAAAATAAAATTCTTATATTTCTTTATATCATGGAACGCAATAGCGCAAATAACATAATAATAATAATTATTTACACTGCAGAAACCAGAAGTAAGAAAATACTGTAAAAGAACAGAATTTGTATCAAAATGTATTAAAAATATAAGTACCTAGTATAACAACATACTAAAATATGTAAACACTGGTATATCGTCACGATTTGGTGGACCTCATTTAGTCATTTTTTTCTCCTCTTTTCCCTCCAAGCAGTTGGTTTGTTAGCATACTCATTCATCGAGCACTCTGTTGGACTTTGTTGTATTTTATTTCCAGATAGAAGGCAATGAAAAAGCAAATGATCTAGCTAGAAAAGGAGCGAACACTCCGCTAACTGGACCAGAACCGTTCTGCTTTCCAAGTGGTAACCAACTCAAGGCGGAACTCAAGAACTTGGAAGATTCCATCCGTAACCTGGAATGGGAATCTTGCAACGGTCGAAGTAAGAAACTCGAAGAAGTTTCTGAGGGCTTACGATCAAGAAAAATCACAGATCTTCCTGGGTTTAAGTAATAACAATCTTCGGATTGTCACGGGGTTTTTAACAGGACACTGTCTCCTCAATGAACACCTTAGTAGATTGAAACTAAGAAGAAACGGCGACTGCAGATTCTATGGGGAAAATGGGGAAACACCAGTACAACTCATCACTGAGTGCGCCGAGACGACAACCGTTCGTGCTATGAACGACTGATATTGGAGATGGAAGAACTACCCTCTATAAAACCGTCCCAGATACTGGCTTTTGTCAAAGACTGTATGATGAGTTATAACTCAAAAAAGGGGGACACAATAGATCTGTAAGGTCGCAGTGATTAACCTCCCTCCCACTCATTCTAAAATCTAAATGCTAAAAAAAGTTATCATGTGTCTCCCTTGTGGAAACGTAATTTTATTTGCACGTGCTGTATGGGACCTTATCCACGACTGCTCTCCGATGAAAAGCTGTCATTCGCAGTGGTAGTGGTTTAAAAAACGCTATAACTACAAAGTTTAACTAGTAATATAAATACAAGAAATGTAACAATTTGAAAATTTATTACTTTTACACATATCTGATGAGCACCACTCTGGTGCTTATTGTTTTTGTCATGTCACTGTGATTGAAATGTCATATTATTCTTGTTTATTGACCTTGTAGAGATTGTTTTAAGTTCTGAATAATCGTCTATTGTTGCTTTAATTGATCATGGTAGAGTTTAACTCTCGGACCTAAAACCATATCTGCTAGAGTAACTGCCCAACAGATAATAATATATGATTTTTCAAAGACAGTGCCATTACATAAATCATAACCACTATTTTATAGGTCTGTTAACTAGGAACAAAAGCCAAACCATGGTTTTGTGTCTTCTTCAAAAGTGAATATTTTCAAAAAATAAGCTATTGAGATGAATCAAAAAACAAACTATCGAGGAAATGTAATATTCACCTAGATGATAAATTAATTTTTAAATTCATTGCTTTGTTAACATACTCTACAGGGTGTTTCAAACTTTCACCAAAATATCAATATTTTATTTTCCTCCTCGAATTTTTACCCCCAGGGCGCGTTAGAAGTTTCACTTCAAAAATCCTGCACGATATAGACTTTAAAAATGTAACTAGGCTACGCGCTGTAATTATGTTTGTTCCTTTTTGTTCCAACCGGACGAGAGAACCGTCCTAGAACGGTAATTTCCTATCAGTCAATTCATTTGTTAATCTTGACAAACGATCAAACTTTTCATACAATAAGTGGGCGACTAGAAATTACCGTCCCAGGATCGGTTCTCGGTCCGGTTGGAACGAACCTATAAGCGCGCGTAGCCTTGTATGTCTCACTGTTAATATATGCCCACGTATACACTTTTATTATATGCCCATCAATTAATTAGCTGAACGAGTTAGCCAAAAATATAATTGAACAAGAATTGGATGAGAGAAGAGATAAAGCTATGCGTGAAATATCGGGCGACACTGAAGTCAGTGTCTGTTATTCAACAGACTGTTCACCAGACCTGACGGAGTATGTGGCAGCTCAAGATATCCCACATTTTGGGGTTCATGTTTATTACGCTCTGTCAAGCAAGCCAATTAATAAATGGAATAGATCTGAAAAAGCAATACTTCCTAAAGGTAAATATATCTCAAAATTAGTTCTGAAGGTGCGGTTGATATAACATATGATAGATCTAATACAGCGTTGGGAACGTCCGATTCGATATAGAAACAGATATAAAAGATAAGGATTTAAAAATGCGGTCGGCCAAGATTGCGTAACAACGCGTAGAAAATTAACTTTCTACCTGTATGTAGAAAAGTGCGTAGAAAATATAGAATATTAAGTAGAAAATGTATAAGATCTGAGAAAAGTTACAAAATTAATTTTGTATATTTAAAGCCGGTTTTCCACTTTAGAAGTTTCTTCTTTGGTATTTTCTTTAAATTCACGTGTTACAACTGTAATATGTCCGTGCGTGCTATCTATTCTGTAACGGTACTAACTAACTAATATAAGAGACAGTAATCGATCTGAGGATTATTGGACCATTTTTTATTCAATTTAATCTGAAGACCGTACAGAAAAGTCTGATTTTTATAAGTTTTTGTTCTTTTTTTTTACTTTTTTTCAGAAAACGTGTGGTTTCATAAACTATACAGGGTGAGTTTCCTACGATGTTCTCTATGGGTATCTCGGGAACTACTGGAGATAGAGAGTTGGTTAAATGGGGAAAGAATTGCAGTTTTGTGGAGTCATAAATATGTGTCTTTCAGATTTTTGAAAAAGTTCATGGCTTACTAGATATTTAAAAAAAAAATTTTGGCTATTTTAAAAATTCCATTATAATGTTGCGGACCCGTGTGAACTCGGCCATAGGCCTGGCCACTCGGCTATGACTCATACGCACGGCGACGTTCGAAAACGAATGGTGGGACGAAGAACGCGGTTAGGAATTTTCGAGACAAATCTAGATTGTCTGTTTCTCTCATATATAAGCCGACGCCCGAAGCCTGAAGAGGAGAGAGAACAACAACCGGTCGACGCGTACAGTTACAATCGCCGAAAATAATTGCGCCGCGCTAAATTCAAAATAAATTCCTGTTAGATAAATTGTAAATAAGTTATAAATAGTTCTTTAAGTCTTTTAATCGTTATTGTTTTTGTAAATTAGTGTTAAATAAATTGTGTTTAAATAAATTGTGACTTTCTATCCACACGGAACCGACGAAAAACGTAACAATTGGTGTCAGGTGTGGGGTGTGTGATGTATAGACTAGAAAAATAAAAAGACTGACAATGGCTCCGAAAAAATTGTTGAAAGACTTGAAAGTGTCCGAACTGAAATGTATATTGGAAGAGAGAGAGTGCGAGACAGATGAAAAGAAAAGCATTTTCCAAGCTAGACTGAGAGACGTTTTGGTGGAGGAAGGTGAGGATCCTGATATATTTTGCTTTGAGTTGGAAGGTGACCTTGACTCGTCCTTACAAAAATTAGAAGACCATTTGAATAATAAAATCAGTGATAAAATTATGGAAAATTCCCAAAAATTAGAAGATATGATCATAGAAAATTCTAAAGATATACAGGCTAGCTTTAATAATAAAATAATAAATTTGGAAGAAAGTATAAACATTAAGATAACAGAAATTATAGAAAATTCTACGGAACTACAAGACAAAATAACACTAATTGGGGACGACGTAAACATAAAAATCGAGATTTTGAGAGAAGAAATGGGAAAGGCAAATTCACCAAAATGTCAAGAAACGTCGGAGGACCCGAAACTAGTAGAAAATAAGTGTTTAACATTTTTTTTATTATAGGGGGGGGGTATCATAATGAAAGTCATGTTGGAACCAACCTATTGATGCGCGAGTATCTAAATTTAACTTTTCTAAAATGTCTTGAAACCGTTCTCTAAAAAACAAAAGTAACGTTCAGGTTAACGTATCCTCAAAACTGTATGGCCAAGAAAATGTGTGGCCAAGAAAAGTTGAACCAATAATCCTCCACGCTTTTCTTCATTTGAAAAATTCATATTTACAATTTTTGTTTATTTTAATTTACAAAGTTTGGAAGTGACAGTTTCAAATTTCACGACGATTGATCTTGTTTCCTTGGCTAAGTGAAATTGTTTAAAAAATATAAGAATTGGCTATAACTCACTAATTTTTCAAAAAAAAAAACATATTATAGCTTATATCGCTGAAAAGCTTAAACATTGGCGCTTTTTACGAAGTCATGGCCAACTATGGTTTCCATTTAAAAAAGCATATGTTTGTGTCATATGTCAAAAATGACAGGCTTTAGAAAAAATCGGAGAACACAAACCCATTAGGGATGTGATTATCTACAACTTTTATCTGAACATTTTTTGTCTAAAATAGTTTATAAGGGAATTAGGGACAATTTTTAAAATAGCCAAAATTTGTTTTTTTCGAAATATCTAGTAAGCCATGAAATTTTAAAAAAATTTGAAAGGCGCATATTTATGACCCCACAAAACTGCAATTTTTTCCCTATTTAACCGACTCGCTATCTCCAGTAGTTTCCGAGATACCCATAGAGAACATCACCCGAAATATAGTAACCCATAGAAACCCCCATAGAAACTCACCCTGTATATAATAATAATTATTGTAGTTTGTAGTTTGTATTTTTATTACGTTATCTTTTTTTGTTGTTCTGTTTGACTCTTACCTATTGATGTCAAGGGTAATATTGCCGGTAATTTTGGTAATATTACGTAATATTACCGCAAGATCGATAATATTGGAAATATTTATTTTTTCCGCTCTACTCTTTTCATTTACCCAGCTCTAAAAAAAGTATGATGGCTGTAGTACTTATGGATTTGTTCTCATCAGCCAAGAAGAAACAGACTTACCATGAAAAAGACCGAAAACTTACTTATATTGCCCATAATTATAATTTAATAAATGGAGAAGAACGAAGAACATCCAAAAATGATAGAAGTTGCTGAAGAAGATCGTGCATCTGGTTTATCGTCTCGTCATGTGTTTCTTCTTTTTCTTTCGTTACCTGAGTCAAGTCTATTTAAAAAGTTGTTTTTTTATAAATTACCAATGTTACCATAATATTACGTAATGTTACCGGTAATATTACCGATTTAAAACTAATCGGTAATTTTATCACTAGTCTTACCAAAGTTTACAGAATTACACTATTCGGTAAACTTTGGTCTTACTATTGAAAACTGTACAGAAAAAATATCGACTATAGTGTGCCTAACAAATCAGGGAAGATTTCGACAGACGGCATCCAAAAATTGACAGAAAATACGATATGCCTCTGGATTCTAATGACACAACAGTCACTGTCACTGATCCTCCCGTTTTACATATAATATCTATTTAAAATAATATGAAAGTTAATAGTTAAGTTCCTTTTTACCATGATGTTTTACTGTATACTATCCATTTGTTGAATAATAAATAACAATTAGGGATATCGTTATTATTATAGTTTATTTTTTATACTAATCTATGTGATTAAGGTATTTGAAATAAGTATAAACATGAAAAACCGCTTACAATATACAAAACTAATTTTTTACGTCTGGACATGTAAAAAATGTAGAAAATTAGTTGGGATAGAAAATTAATTTTCTACGTGTACAATATATAACATTTTCAAAATACGGTACAATATATAACATTTTCTACCTACCCAACCCTGCGCATACTGGCCAATTTGAATTAAATCATGACATAAATAAATAGGGTTACGAATTTTGTTTTATTAAAAATTTAAAAAATCAACATAATTGTATTATACAGGGTAACAGAGGGGGTAACCTAGGCTAATCAGAATACCGTTTATATGAATAAATGGGCAAGATTTTATATAATTATAGATTATTTCACTGAGGAAGAAACAGTAGCATATGCTAGGATGGCATAGGGAGACACGACTCCCACTGTTTTTAGATATTTAAATATTTATGATATTACTAATTTTGGTTTTAACAATTTACATTTAACACAAAATGGTAATACCGAAAAATAAATTTATAAAATAATGTTCCTAATATTTTGAATTTTAACAGATTTACGTTTAACAGGAAAAATTAATACCCTTTTGTCCAAAGAAAAAAAATAAATATAGGTATGAAAATATCCCCTAATTTATTATTTACCGTATTCCACTATAGTAAGAGTCCAAAGCTAATAAAGCAATGTTAAAGATGTTTAGAAAAATGTGATGATTAAAATTTATAACTATCTTTTTTGCACGTTTTATTGGCTCTTTTGACTTTTTTACAATATGGCTATAGTAAAAAAAAAATCCTAAAATACTGACAAATTCTAACAAATTTCTCATAACTTAGTCAAAACTAAGACTTTTAGATTACACTATATAATTTTATTGCGGGCAACTTCGCGCAACCTTTTTTGGTAGATACTATATAGAAAGGCATTCATTAATATAGAAAAAAATTGGCGCCGGGAGGCACGTATAGCCGCCCATACTAAAATATGTTAATATCTCGAAAACTGCGATTTTGACTGATTTTGATGTTATTATAAACTAGTTTTTTCCCGCAACTACGTTCGCATTACACCTCGAATAGTTCATGCATTTATTTAAATGATTTACTTTGTATATAGAGCTAGTGAGCCTTACAAATGCCCTATTTAAACTATGTTTTTAAGAGTTTTAGAGCTACTCGTATTTCATATGAAAGTTATCAATTGTCGATTTTCTGGGTATTATACAGGGCAAGTCTTGAATAAGTGCAAATATTTTTAGGGCTGGTAGATCTCGATGAAAAACCATATTTGCTCTTTACCGTTTTTCAAATAACTCCAAAATAACTGAGTTATTTTACTTGAAAAATTTCCAGAAAAAATATTTTTTGCTTAAATTTTGAGAATCACTGCAGCTTTTCGGGTTTTTCTGTCTTGTAAATTTAATCTACTACCTATCTATGTTGTCATATTATCAAGAAATTATGGTTTTTAACTAAAAAATAAAAAAAATCCAAAAGGTTTTTCAAAAAATTTCAAATTTTCAAAAAAAATTACGCGAAAAAACTCATAATCGTGTTTCTGGGGTCAAATATACCTACTACCGCTAAGAATAATTGCACTTATTTAAGACTCGCTCGACAAAAAATCGAATAAAAATAAAATACTGCTAGATGTTATAGTAATGCATTTTCGTACAGTAAACATTCATTCCCTATTCTACTCCCTAAGATTATAAATTTCATAAAATCGCTTTATCCAAATAATTAACTCATGTCTTTTAAATGATCCTTTGTGCCAATTTTTATGTGTATAATCCAGAGGTCACCAAGTTTTATATAAATTTTTCCTAATTTTGCCCATCTGGTTGATGAATTTCAAAAATCTCTTCTAATTCTTTTTGTTGGATTTCATTCTTCTAGACCACATAGTAAGGAATTTTCATACAACAAATTGTTCCGACATAATTTTACTCTCTAAGAGGATGAATTTCCTAAAATTGCTTTGTGTAGCTAATTCACTAATGTCGTTTAAACGAACGTTCTAATATTTATGTATCTAAAGCTGGTTGTATGAACTGATCCCTAAAATATCTAAAAACTTGATATATAATCTAACTGACAAACCACTGACAATGATAAATAATTTATTTCTGGAGGTATTGTGTGTAGGTGTTTTTCAGGTATGTTTTAATATTTAGTCGATTTACACAAAGAAATAGCCATTCAACAATTTAAAAATATTTCATAACAAATCTACACATATATACCTTTCATTTAAAAAAAGAATCATCAAGATTGGTAAAGCAGTTTCGGCGGGATGGATGTAACAAAGAAACCCTTTGAGCTTTTATAATGTATGGATTTTGTTGCAAATATTATTCTTAATCTTAATTTGAAAACCGCGTTTCGCTAGCTACTGTAATTTTGGAGTTACGATTTTTTAAAATTTTTAACCCCCTCCCATACCCCCTTACCAACCCCCCACCCCACCAAAAACTAATGGCCAGATTCTCGGGTACCACAGTATTTTTGTGCCAAATTTGGTTAAAATCGGTTCAGCGGTTTTTGAGTTATCGTGTTACAGACGGACAGACGGACAGACAGACAGACACAATGAAAATATTTTGTATTTAGGTCATTTATGATCCAAGTAACTCATTTTGAGTGAAATTAAAAAAACTTTTTTTTGCCGATCCTAATAGCCTATCATACCTAGTGGTATGGTCGGCTAAAAAATGTGATATTGAAAATATGGTGAGAACACAAACAAAATGCTTTTTGTATTTTAATTTTTTAATTAATTCATTAAGAACATAATATTACCTAACTAATTATCTCATAAGATTTTTAAAATACAGACTTATACTGTCACTTTTTGGTATTAAATAAGTCCATATCCAAGTAATCCCATTACATAACTGCAGTTTTAGAATTTTAAAAAATAAAGCTTTTTAATACATTTAAGCACATCAATTGTATATCTATTCAACTGCACGCTTAAAACTTGCCAACGTTTTAATTAACTTTGACCTGTAATGAAACAATAAATGTGTCAAAATCATGGGTAACTAGTCTACTGGAATAGTAGAGTATCAGCACTGACATTTTTGTAACCAATTGCTAAAAGTAAATATTTCTATTTATGCCATGATTTGATTAGATTGGGCCAGTGTGCTGCGGTCGGCTAATGAATTTTATCGCTAATCATTTAATTTTGTTTTATTAGGAACGAGAAGTGCAATTGAAACAAGTATCACACAAGGAGCTACGGGAGGAAGTGCGTCTGAGCCATCATGTGTGTGTACGCCAAGAGGTGCTAAAGTTAAAAGCGATGAGCCTAGTGGAGAAGGTGAAGAGGAATCGAATCTACCAGAGTGCCAACGTACAGACAAAGAGTACGACTCTCGAACAATGAAGAAAAAGAAGCGACCAAAGAGGATGGGACAGTCTCCACCCACTCATCCTATCGGAGAAGTACACCGTGTGCCGGAGGAGAGAGTTACACCTACGTGGGGTACAAACTTATTAGATGTACGAGAACCTACGGATATAGGAAAAATAGAGACACCAACAGAAGAAGAAATTAAACTCGAGGAGGAAGTTTCTAGATTGTTAGAAGGTATTTATATACAATATGTTAACTTAGAATATGTAGGTGTTACTATATATAGAAAAAACATATATTTTTTGACCTAAAAAAAAAACAGTTAAGTTTGGATGTTTGAAAAATATCACTAGATCATTACAATCCATCAAAATAATTTACTTTAAACTCTACGAGTTTTTTTTTTTTTCTAACCATAGGCGGTTAGGTTAGCAGATGTATCATGTTAGTCAATAGTTTCATCCAGCTTAAGGCTCAAAGCCTCGTATGCCCACGTATATCTGTTCAGCATTTCTTGTAATTGCTGTATCGTTTTTACAACTAGAGCGCAATCATCAGAGCGTATTGAAGCTCTGTGATTAATTTTATACGTGTTATTGCCCTGAGTCTTATTATGTTGAACAGACTGCTGTCGTATTTGTATCTAATGCCCATTCCTTTTTCCTGCAGTTTGTTCTCCACCATGATGGAGAGCGCTGCCATGAAATTGTTGAATAGGAGAGGCGCTAAGACACAACCCTGTCTAACTGGTCTAACTCGTGTATTTGTTACGAAGGGATCGCTCAGTGATCCATTAGCATTAGGGGTGCAATGATATGGGAATTATTTGGTTGAAATATTTTTAGGATTATATTTTACAATAATTTTTTTATACAGAGACTAGATGTTTGTATTCTTATTGAAAATCTGAACATTTTTTTATAGTTTCGATATCTTGCATAATCAAACAACACTTTTTGCCTGTCGTCTGTAAAAAGACTTTATTTTATTTGGCATCCTGATAATTATCGCATAAGATATGGTAAAATTAGATATTTCTTTTGATACTGGGTAAGCTGAATACATTCGACATAATTCCTTTTTCGATAACTCAATTGTTTCTTGAAAATAATTCTGAGGTTTTCGCCACTTCCTAGAAGAAAAGCTAGACAATAAAACAAAACTATTTTTTGTAGACACCATTGCGTTGATCTAACGGAGACCGATTTGTCGATTTTCTATTTTAAGAGGAAAATAAATTTGCCTCACTAGAAGCAAATTTGCCAGTCAGAAGCAAAAAGAAACAAATAGAACATAAAAACTAACATATATTATATAATTTTTTAAAGATTTTTATATTTAATTTTTAATTTTGATAATAAATATTTCAGTAATTTATTTATTTATTAACAGTAGTCACTATACATTATTACTTTTCATGATAATTTTATATGCCTGGTCCCACTCATCGTCTTCTAATTCTTTTAATAGGTTTGTTCCACGCCTCTTGCTTTTTTCTGTTAATTTCCCACTTGTAGAATGTAGAATGAGTAAGAGGGGGGTTAATCAACGCGACCTTAAAGATCTATTGTGCCCCCCTTCCTTGAGTCATCACACAGTCTATAACCCATCATACCTCTGTTGTAGAGGGAAAGGGTATTTCCCATCCTCCTCTGACAACAGTTCTTCCTCCGAGCCGAGGGTACATACTCTTCCACGGTTGGAGTTTGGCCCTCCGTGCCGCCCTTCACAGTCGAGGAGCTTTCCTCCCGCTGAGGAACCCGTGAGGATTTTTTGCTATTTTTCTATTTGGTTCTTGTCCAATAGTAACATTTATTCTATCTTCTTGCACTCTCTGATTCAGCAGGTCGTACGCAGCTGCGCATCTGTTAATTTTATTGTAAAAATTTCGTATTTGGTTCGAGTTATTAAGGATAGTTATTTTATATATATTTTACTGGGTTTAATGTATCCATTTGGCTTTTTGTCCCGCTATATTGTTTAAAGTTCCTCCGCGAAATAGACAATGCCTCGTAAAATCTGTTGCATTTTCCAGTGCCTGCTCTATGTCCCTCTTCATTGCGATATTTTTCGGGGTTGATGCCATTGTCTTGCCTCATGATCATCTTCTCCACATTTGTAGCAGTGTTTTCTTCTATCCGGACCACTGCAATTCGCTGCAATGTGATTGTAAGACCAACATTTGTTGATAATAAATATTTTAGTAATTTATTTATTTATTAACAGTAGTCACTAACACTTACAATAGAAATATTTAAATTTAAAACAGCAGCTACCCGCTATAAACTGAAATAAGTAGAAATAGCAAAATAAAAACACTAAATCACCACAATACACCAAAACACTTTTACTTTTACACTGGACGCGCGTTTCGCTAACCATGTTAGCATCATCAGCAGATGATTATAAACTACGTTTATAATTAATTCTCTTTCAAAATAGTTTTTGCTTCGATTGTTTAAATGCTTCCTCATATTCTCAACACACAAGTTCAAGAAATGCAATACAAAAACTCGAAAATTTAGTTCTTAAAAGAACTGTTTGTGCTTAAAGGCACACTTTTAAAAAAAAGCTTTGAAAATCGGAAAAAACGAGAATTACTCCCAAAGATTCAACAACAACACGATATTATACAAAATAATGACTGACATGTATACCATTTTTACAGTTAATAAATAATAAAACTATTTCTGACTATGGTATTTAAAATTTAGATAGATAGAATATTAAAAAACGTACCGGTATTTGCAGACGCAGGCCCAAATTCAATAAAAACCAAAATTTTTCCTGCGAAAATCAGGCTTTTTTTCACAGAAAAGGTATTTTTTGATTTATCAACAATCATTGTCAAGTTGACAATATACAGGGTGTTTTCTAATTAGTCTAAAAAATTGTGATGTGATTCCTCATGTGTTCTTAAAACAATTTTTATATAACCATTAGGTCTAAAGTACTTCCTTTCTGATCTACAGGGTGTTAAAAATTAAAAAAAATCGATATTTTGCTTAAAATAAATGGTACACTACCGCTTTTTTTTAAAGAAAAAATATTTTTTTCTTGACTGGCCATCCTTTTTCAACAAAATTGATCTTTTGACTTTTTCTTGTTCATTAAACGGTTACCGAGAAAAAAATAAATATACTTATTAAGAGCCTGCCTTAAGCCGTTTTCTAACGATTGTTTATTTTTTAGATTAATTAGGAAACAGCCTTATATGCATATCACAGGGAACCAAATAAACTAGTAACCTCTAAAAATTATTTTTCCTACCACTAGCGACATACCGTGTTTTTAGTGAGTACTAAATTATTTTATCAAAATTTCACCATATAAGTTTCCAGGCAATGACGATAACGATCGCTGCACAAAATGACCAGCATTGGCAATAATAAAAATCGCTTTAAACTATTTTTTGCAGCTTTAATCTAAATAAAATATCTGTTACAATTATTTGATCTATAAAGTAAAATGAAGAGCTGCTCGGTATCTTAAATTATAGATACAACAAATTTAAACATTTTTGTCAAAATTTCATTTAGTCAGGTTTATAGGCTTTAGTGTCAATTTTGCTATGATTGATGACGTGCATCGGAAAATGTTTTGCGATTACCGTATTTAAAATATCTAAATAGAACTGTTCAAGAATATTAGTTTTTTACCAAATTAATATTAGGACTGGAGCAGATAAGGAAAGTTAGCCAGTTAGACAAATTCGTTTTACTGGTAAAATACCACTGACAAATTAGTCTCCGTTGGATCAACGTAGTGGTATTTACAAAAAATAACATTTTCATTTTGTAGCTTTTTCTCTAGTGGCGAAAAAAACAGAATTATAATCAAGAAATGCATCCGCCACAAAGCTGTAGACATTTACAACTCAATTATTATTGATATCGATAACTTGAAGTTCTTGCAAACTTTTTGACAAATTTAACAGTAAGCGAGTAAAATATTTGTAAAAACAGTAAAATATTTGTTATTCTGTTACAACATAAAAGTACAGGGTGAGTCTTAAATAAAGGCAAATATTTTCAGGGCTGGAAGATATCGATAAAAGAAACATATTTTCTCTTTACTGTTTTTCATATAAATCTAAAATAACCGAGATACTTTACATTAAAAATTTAAAAAAAATGTTTTTTGCTTAAATTTTGAAAACCACTGGATCTTTTCTGGGTTTTCGTTCTTATAAATTTCATTTACTACCTATGTTGCCATATATTATAAAGACATTATGTTTTTTAACTATAGGCCAGTCAGCGAGGGTTTTGGGATCCGAATTCTAAACACCTTCACCGATTGACGTGAAATTTTAATGGTGAATGGAGATATATGTAAGAGAAATAAAAGTTACATAGTAGCGATGTGCGCTTTCACTCTGGGGGTGAGTGCCACCCCTTCTCAGAAAGATGAATCGCCCATTTTAATTGCAAAAATTAAGAAAGGGATGAATTAAGCAAAAAATGTTCTATAAAATTTTTTCAGAAAATTCATATTTTTCTAGTTATTTAGGATTGAAAATGCTGATTTTTCATCTAAAAACTGCATATATATTTCTCTCACTTATATAAATAACTAAACGATTCATTTTTTGTTGATTACTTGCGTGTAAGAACCACCATTTTGAGCCCTTAAAACCCAAAAATCTCGTAAAAATGAAGAGTTCAAAATTGATCAACTATAGAGGTTAATTTGTAGCTCGTGTCATTTCCTACAAATTGATAGTTTTTTATTTTTATGATTTTAGTCATAGATTTTGTTGTTAGTTTTTTTCCGAAAAAATGAGGTGACCATTTTATTTTTATCAAAACTCCGCGAGTTTTTGAGCTACGAACTTGAAAAGACCTTTTAAAAAAGCATTTAAAAGGTCTTTTCAAGCACTTTAAAAACGGTCATATTTATTTTCTTCGAAAAATGTGTTCTTTCGCCATTATTTTACGGTAAAAGGTTGAATTTAATTTTCAAAAAATAAAAAATCAACTTTACAGAGTGATAACTCGGCTATTATTACACCTACGGTAACCTAAAAAAATGTTCGAATCGTTATTCCAAAAGCTTAATTTTTGCTTTATATGAGTTTTGCGATAAAAAGCAAGGTTTTTGAGTTATTTATGAAAAATGCAGTTTTTAGATGAAAAATCAACATTTTCAATCCTAAATAACTAGGAAAATATTAATATTCTGAAATAATGTTATTAAACACTTTTTGTTTAGAATAATACATCCCTTTATTGATTTAAATGGGTGATTTATTTTTCACCCCCGAGAAGGGCCGTCAAGCACCCTCAGAGTGCAAGCACACATCGCTAATATGTAACTTTTGTTTCATACATATATTTCTATTCACTGTTAAAATTTCACGTCAATCGGTGCTGGTTTCAAGAATTCGGAGGTAATACCCTATTTTTATCCTCGCTTACTGGCCGAAGACAGTTTGACCTGATTTGACATTTATTTTGATGTAGCAGAAGAAGACCAGGATGAAGACGAATCAGATGGAGGTGACGAATTTAAAGAGAGTACTCAAGATATGCTACATATTATTGATGAATGGAAACAACAGAAGATGGATAAACCTAAAAGACCGTCGCGTTTAGATAAGCTCGGCAGCAAAACAGGTATAAAAAAACCGTCAAGTATCAAAAAACCGAAGATACCTGTGAAGGGCATGAAACAACCTAAGTTGAAAAGAGCGATGGGCAAAAAGCCCGATAATTTGCCCGAAGAATTTGCTGGATGGACAGAGGAAGAATTGGAGGAAGCTGGTTTAACCTGGGCTGACTTAATGCCTATTGAAGATAATGTAGATGATGTATTGAAGGAAATAGAAGATCAGGTAATGGCTCAAGAAGATGACCAGCTATTTGAAGGAAGTCCTAATATTGTAAGTAAAATTTTCATTTATTCGAATAATTTTATCCGCAATGTTAGGTGAAATTTGACTTTGACGTTATAGTCTAAGAGCTGGCTACATAAAAAACCTTATCATCGTTACATGGCTAATTTTTCTTGTGAAATATCCTTTTGTGTAGCTATTGTGAAATAGTCATGTCTGCCAGTGCAATACCGGGGCTTAAGGCGATGGCGGCCAATCGAAAGAGTGAAATTTTGGCACTAAAAATATTATAAGGTGCACGAGTTATAATTGCGAAAATAGCTTTTATTTATTATTAAGAAACATGGAAAATTGTCGGCAGACATTTTTCTAGTCGCTAAAATGCCGGCAGACAACGCGAAAGAGGCATAAAATTTTGAAAAAATATGGCATACATGCATGCCGATTGATGAAATGTCATATTTATTTATTTTAAAAGCCGTATACAAAAGGGACAGATCGTGGCTAAATCAGCGGCAAATAAGGTAGGTGATAAACTGCACCCCTGTCTGAGTCCTTTTGATCCTGACGGAAGGATTCCGATAGGAACTTCCCCTGTCTGATAACTTTTTGGATTTTTGTACATATTCCAGATTGCATTGATATATTAGTCTAAGAGCTGGCAACGTTTCGAAAACCACCTCCAATTCTGGCAACGTTTTCGAAAAAGTATTTTAAGAAAGCTGGCTTTTTGATATATCTTAAAAACAAAGCTTTAAGAACCAATAATCATACATGCTTTTTTTCATTTTAAAAATTCATATTTACAATTTTTGTTTATTTTAATTTACAAAGTTTGGATGTAACAGTTTCATATTTCTGGGAGCAACTTGTTTCCATGGCTAACTAAGTGAAATTGTTTAAAAATTGTAAGAATTGGCTATAACTCAGTAATTTTTCGAAAGAAACATATTATAGCTTATATCGCTGAAAAGCTTAAAAATTGGCGCTTTTTATGAAGTCATGACCATCTATGGTTTCCGTTAAAAAAAACATATGTTTGTGTCACATATCAGAAATTACAGGCTTTAGAAAAAAAAAACACATCACAAAACAAACAGATCACAGTCTTATTACAGATGTAATTATCTACAATTTTTAATTCGTCAATTTTAAGATGTTGAAAATCGTGCATTTTTTTAATTTTCCTGTATATTTTAGAAAACTTTTTAGACTGCCTATTCGCCGCAAATTTACCCACGGTATTGTTTCTTAATCTACCATGCTTACGGCTTTACTCTATGGTTACGACACTAAAAGAATGTATGCAAATACAGATAAAAAAACTGGTGGCTAACAAAATTATTTAAAAATAAATCAATTTCTTTTTAAATTTGAATAACTCGGTTATTTGCTATTTTGGACGTATTTGGAAAACGGTAAAGAGAAAATATGTTTCTTTTATCGACATCTACCAGCTCTGAAAATATTTGCACTTATTCAAGACTCACCCTGTAGAGTAATATCGTGCTTTTGATATCTGCCTACTGCTGATTGAGCCACGATTTTTTTGTCTGCTCTTTTGCATACGGCTTTTTAAATAAATAAACATGACATTCTACCAATCGGCATCATGTATGCGATGATTTTTTTTGTCAAAATTTCATGCCATTCTCGTTGTCTGACGGCATTTTAGTCACGAGAAGAATGTCTGCCAACAATTTTTCACGTTTCTTAGGTTAGGTTAGGTTAGGTTGCTGGGGTTTGGGATCATATTTGATTACTCACTCGGAGGTCTTGGGCCCATTGCGATACCCCTGTATTGTTTTATCAAACCTTCCTCTCATTCTTTCTTTGAGTTAAAGCACTTCCAGCTCTTTGCAAAGTTCCCGAAGTTGCTGATGTTGGTTTCTGCTGCTTCCTCTAGTCCCTCCAAAAAACCTTGCCCTAAAGTTTTAAAGCGTCGCTATTCCAGTGCCGGGCAGGGGCACAGCAGGTGCTCTATGGTTTCTTCTTCCTCTCCGCATTCTCTGCAGTAGTTGTCATAAATTTTCCATCTCACGAGGTTTACCCCCGTGGGACAAATGGAAAATCATGTTTGGTGAGCATATAATCCGTTTTCTGGTCTAGCAGATGTGGACTCGTGTTCACCATGATTTTCCCTATCACTGGCAATATCCTCGAGTGACCGTAGTTCGTCTGGTTCCACAGATTGGATTCCCTTAATCTTAGGGCACCCTTAGCGGCCTGATCCTTCACGAGCCAGTCGATTGATTGCAAGTCCAGAATTGCTTCTAGCGCAGCTTTCGCTGTGTTGTTCCTTGCACCAGTTGTACCTAGAGCTGCTAATCGCTGTACTTTTGTGAGGCTTTTTCTATCAGTCTCTTTAAGTACCGCTTCCCACCATATTAGTGCTACATAAGTGATAATTGGTCTAACTATAGCAGTGTACATCCAGTGTATAATGTACGGTTGCAGACCCCATCTCTTTCCAAATAGTTTTTTACATGCATAGAATGCATTTATTCCCTTTATCATCGTGTCCTCCGTGTTCCTTTTCCAGGAAAGCTTTGAGTCCAGAATTATTCCTAAATATTTTGTCTCCTTAGCAAGTACAAGTGTCTTCCCTTCCAGCTTTGGTAGCTTGAACTTGGGTATTTTGTATTTTCTTGTAAACAGAATGAGTTCGGTTTTGTCTGGATTGATGCTCAAACCATTCCTTTTTGCCCATTCCGTTAGCTTCTTCAGAGCAGATTCCATGATGTCACTGATCGTGTGCAAGTCTTTGCCAACGATCAATATTACTACGTCGTCTGCATATGCCTTTATCCTAATACCCTTCATTGTAAGGTCTGAAGTCTTTAGGTAAAGAGTGGCTTGGTTTACTCGCCTTGGGTATGAAGACCACTTTTACCTCTCTCCACTTCTTTGGAATATGCCCCTAATATAGGCATTCCCGGAAGATCCTGGTTAGTAGGATATTGATGCTCCTTGAAGCTTTCTGCAGCATGATTGGTGGTATTTCGTCCACTCCTGCCGACTTGTATCGGCTAAATAAACGAATTGCCCATGCTACCCTCTCCTCTGTGATGGTCCTGCTGATCTTCTCCCTCTTCTCTACTTCGTCCCCTGATCCATTGTCGTCTCTCGACTCTTGCCGATCGATTTCGTTTGGTTCAGGGTCCTTGCAGCCTGGGAAGTGGGTCTCCATTAGAAGAATGGGGGTCTCGGCGTTGGATTCAGTACACGAATCGTCTGGTCTCCTGATGTTGCTTGGTACCATCGGTTCTTTGGACAGTACCTTCCTCAGTCTGGCCGCCTTGTTGGTGTCCTTGATGGACTCACTGAATTCCTTTCGATACACATTTAGCCTCTCTTATTTTCTTTTTATATTCGTTGAAACACTTTCTATAAACGTCACAACTTTCTTCCGTTTTCTCCTTTTATGCTTTATTGTATAGCTTCTTTATTCCTGTTCTAGTCTGCCGTAACTCCCCGTTCCACCACGGTTTGGTGTTTTTACTGGGTCGGCTAACAGGGCATGAATTTTTAAAAGCTCTAACAAGCACTTCTGCTAATTTCTCAACCGTATTGTCGATATAGTCGCGATTCGGTTTCTCCGGCATATGGGTTAGTTCCCCTTCGCTAGAATACCTATTCACGAGTTTCTCATATTTACTCCAGTCCGTCTTTCTAGGATTACTATAAGGTTTAACAAGCGAGACTTCTCGTTTAATCTTAAAGAGGATTCTCCTACGGTCGGAGAAGGATCTTTCCAGATCAACCCTCCAATCCTCGACTATCAACACCCGTCCCTCCGTGGTCAAAGTTAGATTTAAAACTTCCTGCCTAAGTTTCTCTGCAAGCGTTGGCACGTTGCCTCTGTTGCATATAGTAAGGTTATTAGAAAGTATAAAATCCATTATCACCTCTTTCGTTGATATCCTTGCTCCCCCATTGGACGTGATGGGTGATGGCCGTTGGCGTCACATCCTATCACCAGCTGTTGGCCCATTCTTCTGGCTTCTCGAACCAGATTTCGGACCGCTTCCGGCGGGGGATTCTCTTCGTCATATGGCATATATGCTCAGACCAAGTTTGAATCCCTTTTGGTCCTCGCACGTGGCCACGCTCAGGGCCCGAATTCTGTAATTTTGACATAAAAACGTTACGCTTTCAAAGCGGTGAGCGAAAGTATGCGATAAGCGGAACGTCCAGCAGTCGATTTTGGTATTCTCGTTGCTCTGCGAATCGTTTTCTTGATACGCGTTGAGCATATATTGACAGCATCGTAATTTCGCAGGTATCTAATAGTCAAATGTGACTAAAACAATAAAAAATGTCAATGATACGTGAATTTTATAACCTATTGTTGAGTTACGTCAACCTATTTTTCTATGGATATATCATTATTCTTATTATACGAGGGAAACGTTGAAGACGCTTCTCAGCATTTTCGATGTTTTGAACAATATTTATAGCTACCAATTTGTAATTTGTCGATTACTTATTTAGGAATTTATAGAACAAGTAGTAGTTTTCACTAAAAAGCAAGATAACGCACGAAATCACAATTTTTTCGATTTTCACTGACAGTTCGACAAGCAAAACGATCCTTTAAGGCAACCGTTTTCAAAGCGCTTAGCGCAATCAGTAAAGACGCTAAGCGCGTCAGACGAGAATACCCAAATCGTTAGTTAAGTGCGCGCTCAGCAAAAATTAACGTCATATACGCTGAGCGTCTAAAAGCGCTTAGCGTTTTCTAAGTTACAGAATTCGGGCTCAGATCGTTTGTGCTGTAATGGGATAGCAAGGTAAGCTTTAGTACTTTTCTTGCTACTATACACGCTCTTTTTTTACCTGTAATCTGTGGGTGAAGTAGAATGTATTCTTTTGACCGCAGTCCATGGATTTTGTCTCTTGCGATCCATGGTTCCTGGACTAAGGCCACGTCCACCTTCTTTTCACTCATGAACAGCATCAAATCCGTCGCGGCCTCACAGTGGTTCAGATTAATCTGAACCACCCGCAGCCCTGGTTGACTTGGTGCCATTCTTGTCGTTAGGAAGCCTCGCCTTTAGATCCCCGAGACCAAATTTGCTTCCTTCCGATTTCCTCAAGCGATCTAGTGATGCTTCGTCAATGGCCGTCACTATATCCTTTCCTTTTCCGTTTGGACTGGCGACTGATAAGACTCCAGTCCTGTGTCCATAGGCTCTCATTTTCTCTCGCCAAGATCTTCATCGTTGTCTCATCCTTTTCCGGGATTGGAGAAGGGATCTATAAAGATCGTTTTTCTTAAGGGCAGTTGCGATGTGAGAATGACCTCTAGTTGGGCTCCTGGTCAGATGTCGTTGCAGTTGCGGATTACTTGCGTTAGGAAATCTCGCGACAACCTGTTGCTGCAATCCACAGCTTTGACACCTTTCTGCCATCCAGCCCCGTCGAAGAGCCTAAGACTGATCTCATCGCTGCCTCCCTCCTTTTCGGCGATAACCATCAGGATCCTCGACTCAACCACCTTTCGGGCATCATTTTGCCATCTAGATCAGCTCGATCAATGACAGCGACCTGACATTCGTCCGGCGAATCGAAGCTAGTCAAGGGTTTAGCCCTTTTTGCTACGTTTCCTTCTCCCTCGCCAGACCGACCCCTTTTAACCGGTATCTTTTCAGATTTTGGTTTTTTGGGGTCTGCTGACTTTGGAGATTCCACAATAGCGTCGGACCTCTGAAGCCTTCTCACCGATTTGGAGGCCGGCTTCTCCCCTTCCTCAGGAATCACCTCCACTTTCTTTGGTTGTTGGCTAGCCTCGAATTTGGAGATATTTCTCTTGTTGAGGTTGATGAGGTTTCTTTCCCGTTCGGTCAAGTTTTCCTCCTTCTTCAAATTCATCTTTTTCAAAAAAGTCTGAGCGTTCCGGTAGACTTTTTTGGCCTTTTGCAACGCCGCGCCGTTAGACTTTTTCTCTTGATGCTTTTCCCTTGGCCTGCGTCGGCTTCCGGATTGAGCAGCTCTTTCTCGGAGTCGGAGCCTATGGAGAGGTCATCATCGGTTGTCCCTCCGATCTCCATATTCTCCAGTCGAGAGGAGATACTCCCAGCACCTTTGCTGCCTTGGGTAGCACTCTCCTGTGCACTTGTGGCTTGGGAAAATCCAGCAGCCAAGTGTACCACTGCTGGATCACTATCGATGTGTGAAAATCAGCCCCCCCCCCCCTCCAGAATCCGAATGGGGCTCGGCCACCTCGGTGGAGGTGGGAAGATTTCCTAAAGTTAGGCTACCTCCTGGGGTAAAATGTTCCTTTTCACACCCTTCCATGTCGTCGGTTTGGTTGAGATGTTGTTCCTCTCCGCTGCTCGAGTTCGGATCGCATGCCGTGAGCTCGATGATGATGCTGTATGAGCTCTATTACCCAGCAGGCCATCTCTCCTACCCGCTGGGCGCCATTGCTGCCGTTAGCCTACTGAGACGCGTCTATGCGCAATGACGCTATTCAGCGTTTCCCATTTCACGCGAACGAGGACGCCGGCAGTTGGAATTTGTGGAATTTCCACGTTTCTTAATAATAAATAAAAGTTATTTGGTAATTATAACTCGTGTACCTTATAATATTTTGTTTCAAAATTTCACCCTTTCAATTGGCCGCCCCTGCTTTAAGCCCCGGGATCGCGCTGGCAGACATGATTATTTCATAATGTAATGATGAGAAGGTTTTTTATGTAGCCATCTCTCCGTCTATTAGTTTTTGCTTTGAATTCGATTAAAAGTGGTGCAAAATAATTTAATCTGTTTCTACAGGGTGTGTCAACGATAGAGTAAAGTTCATTATCTCATTTGTTTCGAGGTTTACAAAAAAATGTTAAATATAAAAGCTATAGAGAAGGTTAAGATACACATTTTAAAATTATTATATAGTGTACAGAGTGCTTCAAAAAAGTGTGGCCGATATAATATTTGTTTTAGAAATGAAACTTCTTTACGCGCGCTGGGAGTAACAATTGAAGGCCGTGACACACGAGCTAGCGAGACACAGCCTACGGCTTAGAAATACGTATAAGCTATACCAATTAAACTTTCAATTATACGTAATCAAGGACGCGATTTTTAAATTCATTGTAAACATGGACATATTCGGCGCCGGGCTGATTAACTGGAATTTCCCGCTGGGGTTTCAGGTGGTAGCTCTGCTGCAAAAAATGTCAAGTTGCCACGTTTATTTATTTATTCCCTGACATTGTCATTAATGTTGACTCTTTAGTTTTGTATTGCGAGTTGTTGGTTTAAATGATCCGTGTTGTGATATTTTAAGCTTAAAAATGTTTACTAGCAGACCTTGCAGTCGAGCATTGTTCTTTTTAGAACTTCTTTTAGTGCAAAGTGTACAACATAGCTTAATAGCCTTTTTAAAAAACTCATCGCAATCTTAGAATATTTTGAAAGGGAAAGCGGTAGTAATGGCCCTTTATGTTCCTTAAGTGCTGTTAAGGTGGTGAGTTTTGTTATGTAAATAATAACTGCTTATATATTTATAATTAATTTATTTTTGTTCCTTAAAATATTTTGATTAAAAGAAAATATGTAAAAGTGAGCAAACTTTTTATCATCATTTTTTCAAAGAAAAAATTCGAAATAAAAACGAAACTTTTTCACCCTATATCTCCGAAACTGAGCATTTTAGGACATACATTTATACGAACTTTTTTACTTATTATTTTTATCTGTAGAATATGCTGCCGACATTTCCGGAATACAGTTCGGACCACCCTGTATAAAGGCTAGCACAAATGTTGGTACAATATCAAGTTTATTATAGTGATTTTCTTAGCTGCGTATGGCACAGATCTTTACTCAGTGTTGCCACAAGCTTATTTTTCATCGGGTTAGATAGCGGAGTTAAATTGCTTTACAAAGAGGGGGTAGATCTACCCCGAATGGGGTACCTGTGGCAACACTGCCGCTATCACTTTTCCCCGCGCGTCATGGCCGTCTAGCTGCCGTCATGGCTGTCTCGCGAACGTCATGGTCGTGACACTCGGCCTTGAATTTTTACTCCCAACACGCGTAAAGAAGTTTCACTTCAAAAATCTTAGTTTAACTTTAATATTGTTTAGCATATACCTTACGAGCCTACAGATTACGACGAAATGATTCGGGAAGCAGAAAAAGATTTATTGAACAGCAAAACAGTGTACGAAATCGGCGCCGAGGAAGACCAGGACATTGTCGATCATTACGACGATCAAATGGATGGTATTTTTCGATGATTATCTAATACGGAACACAAATTACTTTAGACGTAATATGTTGCAGATTTTGGTGATGAGTTTAATATATATCAAGCTGCAGAAGAAATGCGTGTAGGATCACCCGCCATTCAATCCAGAATTCCAGTGACTACGCCAGGACGTACTCCTACACCAAACAGGGTGAGATCGTCTGAAAGAATATTCGCAGAAGAAGGAGATTTTGTTTTTAAAAGGAGGTACATTAAATTGCGGTTTCTTAAAATATCTAAATAATTTTATAGATAGACAGTGCTTTTTTTAAAATGTAAATATACATAGTACCCCAGTCAAATTAGTTAAAAAAAGGCCTATCGGTGGAAAAAATTCCCTCGGTTTTGAAAATGGTTTTAAACGATTCCTCTAGACTTGAGCTGATATGTGTCAAAAGTCCCCGAAGACAGACGATGAGCTCGAGGAGTGGGGAGGAGTTAAATGTCAATTTCTTCACTTTTTCGCTTATATCTCGGAAACTATGACATCTACCGAAAAACATTCTATGTATAAAAATAAAGCTCAAAAACAAAATTCTCCGAACTGTGCCCTTCAAAAATTTGGGTACTAAATCAAATGGCATATTCCAAGTCCATACAAAAACATTTCTTTTCATTGGACGTTTATCGTTCAAATAGCGTTGAAAAAGTACGATATGATTTTTCAAATAGTAAGTATAACTTTTAGTTTACAGGGTGGGTCAATGGAAACTTTCCACCCCAATTTTTCTCGTTTAAAATTAAAATTTGAAAAAACGCCCGGACACGTCGATTTAGTTTTCGAGGGGGAAAAGAAAATATCATAAAATCACTTTCACACCTATAACCTCAAAGGCGGGGGCGGCGCCACCCCTAAATTCTTAAATGGAAAGGGGGGCCGAGTGATACCTCATGTAAAAGGTCTTTCGATTCCCTTTTTAATGATATAGATATCATGTACTTTCGTTCAGTAGTTTTAGAGATTTATTGATTTAAAATAGATTTTTTAAATTTATCAGCAAAGTAGTGAAAAAAACGGTTTTTATTTTTTTCTCTCTCTGTATGTATTTTTTGGCAAACTATGTATACTAAATATTAAGCTTTTAAATAAAAAAGCTTCAAAAAAATTATTTTTTAAAATTTCTAAAAATTTTCCCGGTTAAAATTGAGCATTTTTCACTTATTCCGAATTGAAAGATTTTTGGGCGTGGATCGATGCAGATTGATTAGTTGAAATTTTTAGTATACCTAGTTTGCCAAAGAATACATACAGAGAAAGAAAGAAATATAAAAACTGATTTTTTCAGCCACTTAGCTGATAAATTAAAATCTACTTTAAATCAATAAATCTCTAAAACTACTGAATGAAAGTACATGATATCTATATCATTAAAAAGGGAATTGAAAGACCTTTCACATGTATCACTCGGCCCCCCTTTCCATTTAAGAATTTAGGGGTGGCACCTCCCCCGCCTTGGGTGTTATAGGTGTGAAAGTGATTTTATGATATTTTCTTTTCCCCCTCGAAAACTAAATCGACGTGTCCGAGCGTTTTACCAAATTTTAATTTTAAACGAGAAAATTTGGCGTGGAAAGTTTCCATTGGCCCACCCTGTATACTGTGATTTTATAAATTTTAGACGTGATGCGTTCACACAAATCACTCCTTGACTGCGCAGTTATTTGTTAACATGGATAGTGTTTTCTGTTAATTCATTTTGCTTTATATTTTTGTGTAATTAAAAGAATCAAAACCGACATTATGTACATAATATAATTATTAAAGAAACAAAATAAATAATAATACATTTATAAAATAATAGTGAATTATTATGTTGCTGAATTAATTTTTGTTTCGACAATAAGAAATACCTTCATAAAATTCTTCATTTATAATGAAAATTAAAGCATCTTTTCTTTAATAACATAGAATTTTTGTAATTTAAATTTCATAATTATTACTCGATATTGTACAAAATTAAAAAGTAATTTGAAACACCTACTGAATTAAAAAAGTAAGCGATACATACAAATTTAGACTTTAATTGGATTTTAAATGCGAAAATGAGAAATAGTGTTAATTTTGTCAGCCCTGTATTTTTTAAAAGGTTAGACCTACGAAAAAATGCATTCAACCAATTTTGTAGAGAATTTTCTGAGCTTCAATTTCTGTATAGGGTATTTTTTCTTAGGTGTCATATTTTCCGAGATGTAAGCAAAAAGTCATAAAAGTGACATTTAACCTAGTTTAGAGAAATAATTTAAAACCATTTTCAAAACTGTGGGATTTTTTTCCACCGATTTCTCTAATTTGACTGGGCTATAGTGCTATTCTGCTGTGTTCACTCTTAAGCTTCATTCCGAACCTTAAAAATAGTGGAATACATATATGTGTGCTGGTATAATGTTCTTTGCTAGAAGTAATAAAGCATGGTCGAAGCAAGATGGAAGCTATTTTTTAATTTCCATTTGTATTTCACAGGACATCGCCATTTGCTCCAATACAACCGCCACCAAAAGAAACACAAAGTAGGCCACTACAACATTCATTCGAAAATGAAGACTTCGGAGAACGGGACCCGGTAATGGTACAGATCTTTGAGGAAGCAAAATCAGCGGTTCAAAGTATAGACGTAAGTATTGTAGAGATAATAAAACGTATGGAAATTTTGGACTTGGGAAATTTGAAGAATACACTCTGTAATCACAGAGAGTTATTTACACGAAACAAATACATATAATATATGTATCTGTAAAAAGAGAGCATTTAAATGACGCTAATCAAAGATAAGAAATGCTGGTTGGCTTTGTTAAGTTCGACCTGAACAATTTCAGGATTTTCTTCTTCTTCTTTCTTCTCAAACTCTCCTTTACAGGAGAGAGTTGCGTTGCCTAGGCTGCCAGGGCCATTCTGGCAAAGTACTTTTCTGCTTTTCTTTTTTCTGGGTAATCACGTTTTACAGACTTTCACTGATTTATCTTTCTTAACGACTAACAATTATTGAGGCTATTAAACATGTTGCTTTAAGCTCTGCGACTATTCAGTTATGCATGCACTCTAGGAGTACTAAGCCCCAATAATTACTGTGCATTTCAAGAAAATGTGACTGGTACATTTCAAATTTGCGACTAATTTTTTTTTCTTGATTATAAGGTTAATGTTAGGCTTGTTATTAGTAAATATTTAGAGTTTTAAATTACTAACATTCAAAAACAAAGCGATTTGTTTTATGTGCTCTGTCTTGTTGAATTTGAAAAGGATGTCATGCAGGGAAATCGGTTTTTGCTCTCATTGTCGAAATAGGAGTATAATATTTTTTGGTGATTATAATTATGTGGACAAGCAATTATCAAATGAAAGACATCAGCAACCTCTCCACACTGACACAAATTGTCTCTGTTGATTCTGATTTTATAGAGATGTGACGGGGATAAGCAATGGTTTGATCTGAGTCGACACATGGTGGTTATTTGTTGCTTTGTCAAGGATTTGTATTGTTTGAACCATGGAGTATGGCCTATGTATATTTGTATTGTTTGAACCATGAAGTATGGAGTATCACCTGTATGGCTGCTGAACTGTAGTGCAATATTCTTTCCCTTTCGTTCTAACAATCGTTACAAATCTATCTTTCCATTTGTTGTATATGAATTTTTTTATTTTTCATATAAAGGTTTTATAATCTGCTTTGGGTCTGGATATATGTATGGGAGGGTAGGAGCCGTCCAGCGTTGACCAACTTGTCTGCTTCCTCATTTCCATGAATGTTGGTATGACTTGGTATCCATGCTAATTGTACGTCCCTTTTGTTTATTAATTTCCTTCTTGTGACCAGTGTTAGTTCGTCTGTTTCAGCGTCTATTCCAGTTTTGCTTATCTGCTTTCGGGCACTTGATGAATCAGAGAATATGTCTGCCTTGGCGATGTTATATTGTTCTATTTTAAGTAGGGCAATGTATATAGCATAAACTTCTGCAGAACAGATAGAATGAAAGTCTGGCATTCGACCTAAGTGTCTTAGTTCGCTGACTTAGAATACCCCCACTCCAACCTTCCCGTCTTGATCTTTTGAGCCATCTGTATAAATAAATACACTGTTTGGCCATTCTTCCTTTGCAAGATTCATAAAACTTTGTTCATTGTTAGTCTCCTTTCTTAAATTCATATATTCTACCTTAATAGGTGTAATCTGATCTTCCAGAGTGAATAAATAACAGGGACGATTTGGAAGGACCCTTACTTATTCCAATATTCGAGTAACATAATCTAGTGCTTCTACAAGAGGAGGGGCTGTCTTCCAACTGTTTGGAGCTTCATTATATCTTGCATAGAGTTGTATGAGCATGTTTCCAATCGGATTTTCATACGATAAAACTTTGAAAGCCTGCTTTTCAGGATTTTAAAAAACGCACCGGTTAAACAACCGCCGCCGCTCGCCGGATGTCTTGTGAAGCTCTTACTTGTCGGAAACGAATCGCAACGAACTGAATGGAAGAAATTGCGGCCGAAAGAAAAAGATACATTTCAAGCTAGGCGCGCCCACTACGCCGAACGGAATCCGTTCGGCATAGTGTGCGCTCTTTTTTCCCTTTTGTTTGTTTCGTTTCGTTTCCGACAAGTGAGTGACAAGCTTTAGCGTACCGTGTGGTGCGTCAGAACACGGGACATAGGAAATCCAATGTTAATTTTCAAAAGGTCAAATAAACTAATCTAAAAAAGTTAAGGATATTTTTTTAGAAAAAATGTGTTATAGCAATTAATACCTATAAAAATATATGTAGGGTAGATGTGGGGTAGACTCAATAATTTGTTGTTTTATTTTACGTTGGGAATAAATGTTGGTAGTTATTAAAATTGTTATAAAAATTCTAATAAAAATAGATAAGTATGTAGTAATCAGTATTCATTAACACATACATCCGATACGCTACTGAAGCAGGTATGTCAAATTAACGTATCTAAATTCTTTGACATCTGATCTTTGACAAGTAGTAAATAAAAGCTAAAATGCAAGAAAAATATATAATTTAGTTAATTTAAGAGAATTTCATAAATGATCGGTTTACTACACGTATGTATATTATAGAGTCACTTACTAGCGAAAAATTGTTCCATTACTTCACTCGACTTTTGCCGAGATCTACCGCACGCTACACAACCAACTAATTTAGAGTCTTTTTCGATAAATCGCGATAGTGCCACTGTTAATTTAAGTTCTGCCACAATTTCCATCTAGATTTACTACGTTTATACAACTATCAGTAGTAGAATAAATAATAAATAACATAAAATAAGCTCCGTAAAGACTAACAAATCCACAAAATTTCAAATCAAATTCAAATGTGTCAAATGAATCGTCAAACAGAACTGTCAAGGATCTCCACTCTAGAGTCCTTTTTCCGCCCATGCATGAATACATGAATAGCATTATGCTTTTTTCTTAGTATTCTTATTTAAAGATCATCGATAATATGAACAGACGTCATTTAACGGTAGAGGAAGCAAATCAAGCCATTGTTTTGCTTCTTGGCGGTGCGCGACAGATCGATGTGGCTGATCGACTTAAAATCACCTAAAGTGTAATATCTAGACTTAAAACCGATTTAATGAGACTGGATCTGTCATGGAGAGGCATAGGGAGAGTACAAATGCTAGGGAGGATCGAAGCTTAATGAGAGGAGCTAGGATGGATCCTGCAAGAAACTACACGTTGCTCAGCCAGGACCTTTTGGCTGCCAGCAGGTTACGTATTACCCCTCGGACGGTCTTAAATCGATTAAAAAAAGCAGGTTTACATTGCTAAAAAACATAAGACGCCCTCCGTGATCCTCCAATGATGTCGTGAGCATAAATTTCACCTGTCATTGTACCTTCACAGACATACAATTCCGTTCGACCTCCGTAGAAAATTCTACCCCACACATTACACCTCTAATTCCAAAGAGATGCCCTTCTTGAACATATCGGTCGTTAAGTCTTGTATTTCTTATTCTCCACACATGAACTGTGCGTCTGTCAGTACGAAGACAAAAGCGGCTTTTATCGCTGAACATCGCAGTATGCCACTTATCATTCCAGTTAGCTCTTTCATTACACCAGAGCAAACGTTGAGCTTTATGACCTCAATCTGACTCTCGCGGTCAACGGAGGGCGTCTTATTAGCCTATAGCAATGTAAACCTGCTTTTTTTAATTGATTTAAGACCGTCCGATGGGTTATACGTACTCTGCTGGCAGCCAAAAGGTCCTGGCTGTGCAACGTGTAGTTTCTTGCAGGATCCATCCTAGCTCCTCTCAGTAAGCTTCGGTCAGAGAAGAACAACCGTAGAGAAGCGACAAAACGAATCCCGCCTAAAAATTTGGAGTGGGAGGTAAAACGGCCAACTGTCATCTCAACGAATTTTCGGAACACGACTTAACTTATTGGATTCAAACAACCCGTTTTTAAAAAAGATTTATTTTTAAATTTAATTTAACAAGTGGAGAAATACGTGTTTACAGCTCGACAACAAAGCTCTAACTGAATACAAATACAATGAGAATTAACGAAGTTAACAATAATGCTTGTCTCAGCGAAAACAGAATTAAAGTCTTTTTCATATGATCTTCATGGTAAAGGGTTGTGTAACACCTCCCCCTAAGATTCGAATACACAGCTTGGCTAGGGTAGTCGAACATCTTCTAGTGCTACATCCCTCTTTTGTGGTGTAGGTGTGTTCCATTTCTTCCAGGCAACGTAGATACAGACGATGAAAAGCAGAACGTATATACCCATTGTCCACGCACTTGGAATTGCCGATACTTTTTCGAAAACTAATTGTGGTTTATTGTCTTTTATTTCTGATTTTAATTTATACAATTCGGTCCAGGTTTACATTGTCTATATGGGCACTAAGATTGACCGAATGTATAAAAAATGTATTTTCGTGAAAATCCGAAAACAGAAAAGGTTGTGTTTTAAATTTTATGGTTTTTTGACTATTGGTTATCAGTTCATTGTTTGTTTTCACTTGGCAGTTCGACGGTATTTCTAATAAATACGTTCCAATTATGCGTACACTTTCTTCTTGCTGAAGACATTTCAAATTTATAATTTCTTCAAAGGGCGTCACGTATATCCAGTTATTCGATGAACTTAATTGTTTTGAGAATGAGTGGGAAATTTGTGCTTCAATTTGATGGCACTGCGATAGGTTTTGAATTTCATCTAACAGCTGTACGGCACAGGAATCATGGTCTTTGACTTCTCTTTGACATCGGACTCGTCGCAGATAAACAGCTGGTCTCGGATATCATGGCATTTGTTGGTTTGAAAGATGTAGTGCAATTTGTTTTTTAATAAAAATTTATTTTTAGCTATTACAACCTTAAACAAACTCTTTACAAATACTGGTACTGAATAAAGATGAAAATAATCAAAATTTTCTTTAAAGGTTAATGGAATTTTGAATAAATATGAAATTCTATTATTTAATAATTAGTACTCAACTTCAATAATTTTTTCGTATATGAGAATATTTTCAAATGTAACGTTTAACGGCATTTTATGGATTCCAACAATATTTTGAATATTAATTAGTTCATTGAATAGATCTTCAGTTTTCACAATACTGGAATGAAATATTCCTGACTT